GGCGTCTCGAACAAACTCGGGCTTACCCGATAATTCATTATCATTCGAGAAATTCATCACGTGTTACCAGCGTCACGTGACTTCCGCTGTCGTAACAATATGTTAAATTATCAGAGTGGACAGGTCGTTTTCCATACCTTTGTCATTTTGTAGTATAATCGTCGTGAAAGTATTTCTTCGCGGAATACTTATCCATCCGCGCTTTACCAAGTGCCTAGAAGGTGGCCTAAAACTGTATGTTTAGAAAGTTCTACATTCGATAGCGTTTGTAATTTTTACTTCGATATTGGTTATCAATTATTTATTTTCGCGTGTACATAATTGGACGAATAAAACTCCAAAGTAGTTTAAATATACAGTACTAGACACCCACACGGTTACATGTACTCACTTTAGGCCTATGCAATATACATTGATTGTTTGTTTTTGAAAGCTACACGAGGGCTATCTGCGCTAGCCTTCCCTAATTTAGCAGTGTAATACTAGAGGGAAGGCAGCTAGTCATCACCACCCACCGCCAACTCTTGGGCTACTCTTTTTACCAACGAATAGTGGGATTGACCGTCACATTATAACGCCCCCACGGCTGAAAGGGCGAGCATGTTTGGTGTGACGGGGATTCGAACCCGCGACCGTATATACATTGATAGGAAGATGAGAGGTGATATTGAATATTTTTTAATTTTTCAGTAACAACAACTTTTTTTTTGGTATAAAGTTTAGACTTCAAATGTTTCACAAAGGGTTTATCTATCATTTGAACACTGTTGTTACTTTTGACAATTTTGCAAACGTCATCTATTTTGAGCATGAATGCTTGTCACTTGAACATGGACTACAATGAAACAATCTTACGTTGCCAAAAACTGGAACAGATCTGATTACCATTCAGAAGCGCTCCTATATACCAATATAATTACAATATTTTTTATGACTTATTCAAGCCTAAAAGGCATAGGCTACTGTGTTAAAGGCCCAGTTTGAGCTTTATTCAATACAATATTAGATCTTTAAATGCAGATATTATATAGATTAGCTAGGACTACTGAATCCAAAGACCTGTTCAACACTATAATTCATGATATCAGAAAAACATGTAGGTTCAAGAAGTCTCAATATAAAACGATAAAAACTTTATAACCCGAGTGCTTTTGAAAGGTGGGCCTATCTTTTTCCGGGCTAAACTGGGAATGGTGCAACTGAATGAGTGATATATAAAACAAGTTGGTGACGTCATGAAGGTCATTTGGGCTTCCAGGAAGTGTTTTTGTATATTCTACAATGTACTGTTGTGTGTCTCATTTCCGAAGCAACACGGCTGGAAACGAGAGCGTTATGTAAAAAGTTGTTAGAGATGTTTTACTTGACAAGTGATCATGAAAATCTATACTTAGTGTTGTTAAAGTAAAATAAAGGTGACACATGGAGATTGGCTGAAAGAGAAATGTTAAGCAGATCAATTTCTAAGAACAGGCATAAAAAATGATCACAAATAAATAGTAAGTAGTAGAAAGATTAGAGGTAAACATTGAATGTTCACACTACATGAAAAAATAAAATAAACAAATAAATTATTTTTCTGACAAAATTTACCAATGATCGGAAACCACTGATTCCAGAATCTAGGTTTATTCCATTAGGTTGAACAGTATTTAGATTAGCAATCCAATAAGTTTATTTTATATCTATCAGCTTTAGTTTTAAAGTCGGTTTCAATGCCGATTAGAGTAACATCGTTAATAGAATAGCCGGGTTGATTGAAGTGTTGAGTAACAGGGATCTCTTTTTAGGTGTTAATAGATTTATGGTTCTTGAAACGTTCTCTGAAACTCGTTTGTGTATGTCTTACACACTGGTGACTGCATTTTTTACACTGTATAAGGTAAATGGCATCCTGTGTTGCGCAAGCAATTTACTTAGACATTTTTAAAAGTTTCTCTGGTTGTGCTTTTCAGAAAGTTTCTTAGTTTAAAGTGATAGGTTACGACAAGAGGAATTCTATTTGAAAGTTTAGTGTCATTCTGTTTCACGATGTTTTCCCACTGAGTGTTGTTAGCTTTTTCGACCTGTCTGTCAATTTCGGTATCTTTATATCTTCTTTGTAACGTGGTTTGTTTTAGATCCTTGGTATGTTTTCTATAGTCTGTTTCATCTGAGCATATTTTCTTTATTCTAAGAGCTATAGGTAATGTTTCTTTTAGTGTGAGAGGAGTGACGGCTTTTATAGTGAAGGTATTGTGGTCTGTCTGTAGGTTTTTTGTACAAGTTGTTGTGTATAATTCCGTCTTTTAAAAAGACACTGACGTCAAGAAAGTTAATCTGGGTAGGAGAGTAATTAAATGTAAACTTGATTGTTTTGTGAAAGATGTTTGCATGCGAGATAAATTCTTCAAGTGATTCAAAACCGCTGTCCAAATGAAATATGCCATCTATGTAACGTTTCCATGTATGAGGTTTTACAGGGCTTAGTTGTAAAAGTTGGTTTTCAATATGACTCATAAAAAATACTGGCATAATCGGAAGTTATTTTGGTACCCATTGCAGTACCGTTAACCTGAAGTTGTTTTGGTACCCACTGCAGTACCGTTAACCTGAAGTTGTTTTGGTACCCACTGCAGTACCGTTAACCTGAAGTTGTTTTGGTACCCATTGCAGTACCGTTAATGTGAAGATGCTTTGGTACTCATTGCAGTACCGTTAACCTGAAGTTGTTTTGGTACCCATTGCAGTACCATTAACCTAAAGTTATTTTGGTACCCATTGCAGTACCGTTAATCTAAAGTTATTTTGGTACTCATTGCAGTACCGTTAATCTAAAGTTGTTTTGGTACCCATTGCAGTACCGTTAACCTGAAGTTGTTTTGGTACCCATTGCAGTACCGTTAACGTGAAGATAAGGCTGACAAGATCAGTTACTGTTTGGTATTCCGATGGTTTAGAAAGGGTTAAGGCGGACTTTAAGAGTTTCTGGTCCTTCATAATGTAGAATATTAGTGTAAAGGGAAGAAATACACATTGTTTAAAGAAGGCTGTTAGACGATAAGAGTCCGTTGGTATCTTCTTTGATATTAAGAAAGTAAGTGGTATAGGTAATGGAAATACATTCTGTGTGTTGGTCTACAGTCGCCATGTTTGTGTTAGCAATTATGAATCGGCTAGGATTGTTTGGTTTGTGTACTTTCGGTAAGAGATAAAATCTTCCTAGAAAAACTTGTGCGTGTATCAAATACTGGAAGTTTTCTTTGTTAATGTTATTGTTTTGGTAGAGTTCACTATAATTATCATTCTAACTTGTGATACCAAGTGTTTGTTTGCTTGTCGTATTTCGCACAAAGCCATCCATATTCTGAAAGTAACTAGTCAACCTCACCCTCCTCCAGCTCTTTACCAACGAATAGTGGGATTAGACGTCACATTACATGATCGGTGACGAGATTCGAACCCACGATCCACATATTTCGGGTCGAGTGCCCTAACCACGCGCACACACAAAAAAAAGAGTTATGTAAGGGCTAAAATTATTGAACCATTTTTTAACCTTAAAATTGATATTAAAGTCAACCTTTAAAGATAAAAGTTAAAACTGAAGTTTGTTTTAAAGCAAAGTTGCATTGAGTTAGCTGCTGTGTCCAATGCGGGGAATTGTGCCCCGGATTTAAGCATTGTAAGTTGGTAAACTTACCACTGACCTATTGGGAGATGTTGGCTTGAGGACAAGCTTGAAAGAGAGAGAAAAAAGTGAGATATGCATGCTTGTTTTCTAACTGCTTTAGTGATATAGGAATGTTTAAAATTTGTTAGTTATTGAATTTACATACAACATGAGAATACCTCGTTATAGATGCTTCATTTCTTTGTTCTCTACAGTAGGTGATGTCTCTTTTGCCTGAGAATATTACAGTAATATATAACATCAATGTTAAAAGGATTGGCACTGTAATATCCTTGCTTGCGGATTATGACGTTGACTAACTTTAATAGCCAACCAATGGTGTGAGGGAACAAATGTCACGAGGTAAAACTGTTGACTAGACAAAGAAAGCGAGTTTACCTGTTGAATTAATGTGAACTTTATTTACCTGTTAAGAGTTTAGTTTTAAGGAAAGGAAGCTGAACGTAGAAAGGATTGTTATTTTGTCTGCATAGGTAAACACATTGCAATTTATTTAATGTAATAAACATTATGTTAATTTATTCAAATTTGTCCATTTTAATGGTACAGGAATCTAGTCCAGTTGTCTATTACAGAACACTCCCATTATTTCTTGATTGAATATGCTGTCATTTGTGGGTTAGCCAATCTTATACCTGTCGAGAAACCAGTTTTACCTGAAAGTAACACACTATCAGTATTAAATTTGGCAGTCTTCTCTCAAGAACATCTGTCAATATCAATCTGGAGGTTCACAAAAAGATTTAAATTAAAAGTTTGATTAAAACTTTAAAAACATTTGTGGAACTGATGAAAAACATAAGTTTATTTCCAGAACTACTTAATGTTAATAAAGAAAGGGGAAATTTTTGTTTTCAAGTATGTAGTATATATATTATCATTCTCCTGTTAAATATTTGACAAAGTTCATGAAAGTTATGGTATACAATGAATATATTACTTTTGAATTTGATAACAATATTTATTGTACTGCCTACAATCTTCAGTTTTCACAGATTTATACTTATTGACCAAATAATTGGCTTTTGTACAAATATCTAGTTGATTCTGAAAAATATAATAGTACAGGGTATTTCAAAAGCCATGTTTAAAACTCTTCTTAATTAGGTCAAAAAAAGCAATTTCATTCCACGTTTAATGATTGGATTTTTGAACACTTAGGTGGAATGAGTACAGGATTTAATCTAGTCCTTGATCTTCCTAGTTTATTCCTTTGTTTCTCCGGAATATATTTTTTTTTAATTCTGTCTTGAATGAATTTTTTGTGCCTTTTGAAAATACAAAATCTGTTGACAAATTTCTGAATAATAAACATCCAAACATCAGATTTACATACAATTTGTGATAAAACTTTTTCTATTATAGAAATTAACATTTCTCAACAGCCCTGAAGAGTTGAGTAAAGCATGTTACAGTTTCACTTTTTTTACACGCTTGTATTTCACATTCTGTTAGCCTAAATCCTTCAATAGTTATTATAATTTCTATGTACAGAACTTTCAAAATCTCACATAAAAGAAAACCAACTGCTCAGATGAAAGAGTTACTACTACTGACTATTAAAGCTCAATCAGATAAGCTCACCATTACTCCAAATGCTCAGTATGACATTCTCAAGAAGAATGGTGCTTTCATTTTTTTTTCTATTTGGGTAATGTTTCATAATCAAGTAAGGTTTGTTAGAAAAGCTAACAGTTTAGTTTTCAGAACAGACTAAATAACTTGAATATCTCTCTAGTACTGTATAAATTCAAGCAGCTTCACCAAAAAAAGGCCCTGCAATCATATAAGCAATCATGAGGTATGAGAAACACTAAACCCAGAAATTCGCTAGCTATTGTTTCTAAAGTGTCACGTCATTCCTTGTTCACAGTTAGTGCATCATTCTACATCTTCAGGAGGAGTTTTAATCTTGAATCTTTGAAACCATTGTCCAAAAAAATTTTTAAAACTAGTCATAAGTCAAAAAGATGAATCACTAAACTATTGTCTCCTGGTGAAGCCTGTACAGTTAGAAACTAAATGAGGTGATTAAAAATCCATGCCATCACAGCATGCTTAAAAAACAACAACATTTATCTATGGAATAAAATCTCCCACTACAAAGAAACAATAAAATAAAACAGTCCATTTAAATTTTTAAAAAAAGATGAACTTTTTGAGATCTAAACTAGTCTGAAGTGTAACAGTTCCACTATTCATGTGGCACAACTCCACAAACAGTCCAGGAATGTATGTGCGACAACAGCACGGAAGGCACAGAAAACTGTCTCACTGTGATGTTTCAACCAGTATAGATCTTGCACTGTTAGAGTACTTTCAACTAATGTGTTTCAAAACTTCTAAGATGATAAAAAGATCACATCTCAAGAAAAGTGAGCACGTCCAGAATTGACAAAAACCTTAAAAAATCTTACTCAAATATCAAGCAACAAGAGCAATAATAATCTTGATAAATATAAGAACAAAGTAAAACAACAATAACATCATATTTGGACAACAAGGGACCATTAGTACTTAAAGCCTGTCCATGCACACCCTGTCCAAAGAAAAAAAAGAAAGGTATAAATTAAACCCACTCATATTTTTCAGAAAATCACTGATTCTGATCTTAAACTCTTGTAAGATGCTAATCTTCACTAGTACTGATGTCCATTCATTCCGTAAGACTCTTAACAGGAACGTAGCTTGTCTTTTACAAATCTTAAACTTGTGTTCTGTCATCATATTATCTTCAGAATATAACACAAAAAAATAGTGATTTCATTCTTAAACTCTTGTAAGATGCTAATCTTCACTAGTACTGATGTCCATTCATTCCGTAAGACTCTTAACAGGAACGTAGCTTGTCTTTTACAAATCTTAAACTTGTGTCCTTTCATCATATTATCTTCAGAATATAACACAAAAAAATAGTGATTCCATTCTTAAACTCTTGTAAGATGCTAATCTTCGCTAGTGCTGATGTCCATTCATCCCGTAAGACTCTTAACAGGAACGTAGCTTGTCTTTTACAAATCTTAAACTTGTGTTCTTTCATCATATTATCTTCAGAATATAACACAAAAAAATAGTGATTTCATTCTTAAACTCTTGTAAGATGCTAATCTTCACTAGTACTGATGTCCATTCATTCCGTAAGACTCTTAACAGGAACGTAGCCCGTCTTTTACAAATCTTAAACTTCCTTCCTTCCTATATCCTTCAGAGTACAGCACAAAGAAATCCTATCAATTCCCTGAATAATCTTGTAAATCTCCACAAGACATCCCCTTACCCTTATTTTCTAAAGCGATCCTGACATATCCCCATAAGATAATCCTTTCATCCCACAAATATTTATTTGAACCTTTTTCAATAAGTCAGTATCCTTTCTTAGATAAGGAAACCAGATCTGTGCACAGTATTCTAAGTAAGGCCTATTCAGTGATTTGTAAAGACATAATTTCCTCTTTTGACCTGTAATCAGCATATTTATAAATATACCCTAAAATTCTATTAGCTTTACAGAGCAAAGTTTGAATGGCTTGAGTGATTTATCCATCGCTATGACAAAATTATTTCATTCAATCCTGCTTTTGAGTGGTTCTCATCAGTACAAAACACGTGATCCAAGTTATAACCCAAATGCAGCACTTAAAATTTCTATAATTAAAGGTCATCTGTCAAATATCTGATCAACTTACTAAATAATCCAAGAAGTTATTCTGTAGTCCCTCAACATCATTAATATAGCTAGAAACAACCAAGAGTTTAATGGCATTAGCAAACTTTACTAATTATTCCCCTATCAATATCATTAATGTAAGCAAGAAAAAAACAAAGGCCCAAGCACTGATACCTGAGATGGTGTACACCACTAATAACAAAGGTCCAGTTTGACCGGACTCCATTAATAACAACCTTTGGCTTTTTCTCTCACCCACTAATCCAATTACCTATTCTTTTCCCCCACCCAACTAATATGATTTTCTTGGATAATCTTCATTGTGGCACTTATTCTAAAGCTTTTTTTGAAAATCTAACTACATCAAGTCCTCGTGTTATGATCCAGAATTTCTCATTAGTGAATCCGCATTGGAAAAAGTTTCACAGCACAAAAATGAGGCTAGTAGGTAAGTCACTGGAGCAGGTAGAAAGTGCTTCATTAATGTTAATGGCTTCTATCGGCTTGAACGCTATCATGGGGAGCCACCCCCCCCCCCCCACAAAAGAGCTAGGAAATAACTATTTCACATACACATAAAAAGTCCAAGCAAACAGGTAATAACCTGAAAAC